CAACAAAAATGTTAAATAGGAGAGGTCCCAGGACAGACCAGCCTCTGGGTAGAGTACTACCCCTTAACAACTACCTCCTGATCCCAGCCATCCAGAAAATGTTTTAACCCATGGAGCTGCCTACTAGAATTTTGTCCAGATTTCTTTCATTGTATTGTATTCACTGCCGTGTTTAGGCTCTCTTCTATTCTTTGCAACGCGATCTGTTCACTCGCCTGCCAGATGTAAGGAACAGCCAAGTTGCCCACGTCAATTCCAAGAGTCAGGAGAAATCACTACATCCAGAACCAGGCTTTATGAAGTGTTTAAATCATACAACCATTTTGGAGAGGAAGCATTTTGGAGAACTTTGCCACTATGTAAAACTAGACTCTATTAGATGCAGTATCTGCTATATTAAAAAATAACCTAATTAACCTCTCCTTGTATAAGTTAGTATATAAATAAGGACACTGTAATAGCACAGTAGGGGTGTTTTAATGTCATATGAAGCTGCACAGTGATTATTCTGTGTACCATGACTATCTCTTGAAAAAACTTAAGGATATTAATCAGATGATGCTACCATTGTTGAAATTATATTTCTCATTCTAAGCATAGCTTTGTGATTTCCTAATGTTAAAGGAAGTAGGTGTACTGCTATCTAAGCTGATCATTCAAGTTATTAATGAGACAAGCTTCTCACCCATGGTTCATGGATCAACAGTCAGTAAGACATCAAATAATGATCTAAAATTCCCTCCCTCCTACTCAATGCCCCAAGCAAGCGAATAACCTTACGAAACGGGAGAAAGCAAAATACAAAAGCCTATTTTAAAAGTTGCTGAAATTTTAATCATTCACAAATAGAAAATTCTATTTGGGCAACATCCCAAAAAGTTCTAGCTTTTTTTTTTTTTTGTTTGTTTTCCAGAAAGTTTTATGTTCTCATTTAAAAAAAGTTGGGAACATGGATCTGTGAAAAAATAGCTTGCACAAATACAGCATGATGATGGCAGAAGTACAGTGCCACTATTTTTTAAAAGACTCTTAACTATGCTGTATGTATTCATACCAGAGCAAAACTGGGTATAAAGAAACTCTAAAAAAATGAGCATAAATTGGAGATGTTTGGGTGGTGTGTGTTGTTTGGGTTTTTTTAATTGGCTTCCTATTAATGCAACAATAATTAAGACCTGTAATTTACTTTGGCATTATTTTTTTCTGTCTTTAAAAGAATGAGAGTTATGTCAGAAACTGCATATATCCATGAAGAGGAAAGTTTTTCTCACTCTGAAATTGTAATAAGAATTGTAATAATGATTTGGAATATTCAGTCAAAAAATTCCAGAAAAATGTTATTTTAAAAGTGCACCCCAGTCCAGATGCAAAATTCCTCATAGGGTCCTGAAAAGCAGTGTGTATGTGTATAAGGACCTGTGTGCTTATACATAGACGTACATACACACACATTCTGTTGCTTGAGAGCAATCGTTGAAACGACAAAGCTCAGAGGTCCCAAGATCGTGCTGGCATCACTGATGATGCCAATTCACAAATATGTCTTAGCAACCTACATGCCAAAGGCTGCCCTGATGACCCAAGAAAATGTTAATTTTACCACCATTCAACTAAAAAGTTCTGGAGCTGTATTAGTGCCAGTCTACTGTGCTGCTCGTGCAGGACAGAGACACAGACAGAAGCTTGTGGAAGCACACAGGAGAGTAAATTTTTACCTTTAAAATTACCTAGGAGATCAAGCAAAAGTTTTTAAAATTGTACCCTGGTATTTATATGTCTCAGTTCTACCCAAATCCCATTCTAGGCCAGCAGAAGTTTTGCAAACTGCACTCATGCAGGCAGATAACCAGATTGCACTGGGTCTTTTTGTGGACCTACACCTAAGTCTGACTGCGGCAAGGGTAAAGAATTAAATTTCTGAGAAAACTCCCACAGACTGAGTGCAAAAACCAGGCAGATGAGCAAGCTGTGCATCATTAAGTAAACTGGGAATCGCCGACAAGGCCAAATGAATGCACTCAGCCTTGCCCAACTTCTGAAGTTATAGAGGATACCTGGGCCTGGTTATCATGTGAGTAGAAAACTACCTGGGAACTCCTGAGCTAAGAAGCTAGAGATGGACGCTTTCTGAACGTTAAAGCACATACACACAAAAACTGAGCTTGCTTCTTGCTGGTATTACGGATGGACAGAAATGACAGCAGAGTAAATCAACCTCTGTGCTGTTTTCTTACACGTAAGCTCCTGCATCTGATGAGAAAAGAGTCTCAAGAGGCTAAATATTTATAAGGTTAAATTAATGCTATTAAAAAAAGCAGCGTCCTGTTCCTCCTAGTCTAGCTGAGCACCAAAGCAGGGGCAGCTCTGCAAGGCAGGCTCCAGAGACATCCCTTAGCCTGCAACGCTGACCATCAGCGACAGCAAATGGAGCAGTATTTACGTGATTTACCTGATTACATCTTCCCTTTCACTGTCCCATCTTCATTCCAAACATCATTTAGTAGGTAAAGCAAGCTTTGCCAGTGAACAGATGAGAAAAATTAGTTGCTTCCACGGATACACGCTTATGCTATTTTATGTGTGATGTTATGGCACCGGACATACAATAATGATGCTTTCATAACTGCTATTCATTAGCTTCACTCATTTTACAGCATTTTCCAGGGCTACGACTGGCCAAAGTTAATTTGTTGAATCTTTTAATTTGTTAATTTGTCAAATTTGTTAATTGGTCAGTAGTCTGCTCTGAAAAGAGGGAGAAAGCAGAACCAGAACTTGGTTTTATATCTTTTTATTAAGAAGGACAATCTCTTTCACAACTGAAAGCCAGAAAAAAAGTGTTTCTCCCAAAATAATCCCATAAATAGATCAGTAAGAAAGTTATCAACAAAAAAAGGCAACCATAAGAAAGCAATGGCTAGCCAGTTCAGTATCATTACAGAGAACATTTTTGCTACCTACCATACACATCAATTTTGCTTTTGAACACTGATTCAGATCGTTTACGAGACTCCACTTAAGAAAATGAGGAACAACCCCACCATCTCACCTCTCTCCTCCCAAAATGAAACCCTTCATGATTTTTTTTTTTTTGCTAATACATACTGATGAGTGAAAGAGTAATTAACCTTACATGTGCACTAATTGGTGGTGACTCCTTTAACAAAAACCAGTTAAGGCTACTGCATTGGAATAAAGTCCATTATTTTTACATTAACTTTTCTTGTATTAGAGCATTAGTTAAATGTCGCGAGTGTAGTACTCGTATAGCTTATGCTTGCTCCCAGGCAGGTTTTTCCCTGCAGCCTTTTTTTCTTTATCCAGTCAAGTTGCGTCATATGTCCTGCCACTCTAATTGCCAAGAAGTCTCTAAATTACCCAAAGTTAGTATTTTCTTTCAGGGTCAACTTAAAACTTTTTTTCCGTCTATCTTTAATGAAAGTAAGGGAATTGTGACAAAGCGGGAGGAACCTGATAAAAAAAAAAATCATATTCTTTCTTCCTTTCAAGGAAAAATCCATATAATCTAGACATCTACCCCTGGATGAACAGACAAATGGTGGGTAATATGAGGTAGGATGCTTTAATTATACTGGATGAACAGACAAATGCATGTTCTGGTGGGTAATATGAGGTAGGATGCTTTAATTATTTACCTGCTCTTAGCCACTTTCCTCTGGCTAAATAACCTAGGAAATGGGATATCTAAATTTTGTATTTGTAGCTCTTCAGTGAGTTGTTTGTTGTAACTCAAATGATACGAGTTTGAATGGATACTAGAAAGTTTTTCAGTCTTGCAATGAATCCACTAGACTGTCTCATCTCGTCACCCTCCTCTTAGGACAGTTAATTCACCTGCAGCCAACTTACTGGTAGGAATTTGGAGCAGCCAAGTGCCCCAAAGAGCATCTACTCTCAGCTGTCAATTAAAAGGTGTTCTCTTTAAAGTCAAGAGATCCATGGCTTCAGTATTCCACGAAGCCAGCACTAGGTTGCTAGGGTGCTACATAAATAGGTGTGTACGATACCTTGGAGCATAATACAGAGATGTGAGAATTACTGGAGAACTAATCCAGTAAGTCCACCCAAGAGCCATGAGCAAAGCAACTTACCATCAGGGGTACAGTCCCATTTGTTCCCTGCTACATCCGCCCTACACCAGGCTGACACGACTGGACTGACCTAGACAACTGCAGCCTACAAAATCTATCTGAACTCCACGTCATGTGGACCTGCCTTCTTCACCTCCGCTGCCATGAAAACCTGCTACAGAGTAAACCTACTTTACAACTTAAAGTAAAAGCAAGTCCAAATAATTATTTGACAATTTCAGAGATCTTTTAACATGCAAAAGAACTAAACAAACCCAAGACTCTTCCTTCATCTCCCTACACTCCGCAGATACAGGTAGTGGAAACTGCAGCCTGTAGTCCTGTTCGTCATTTTGTTCTGAGTTGCACCTCTCAAACTGCACCCATGAATAACCCTACTATTTCACAAACAAACAGATTCAAGTGTAAGGTGATGCTGAAAACTTGTCGTACGGGGTCTGCCATGCTTCCTGTGACCCAATACGTTGTCACAGATTTTCTGGCAATGGTCAAGTCTTCATCAATGAAGAAAAAACCCCTGTATTTAAGACTAGTTTTTAAATTTTAAAAAGCTCCAAAAGTTTAATGAAAGAAGCAACTACTTCTGAAGAAAAACACAGTCAGCTGGAGAACATTTTCAAAGCTTGTAATGGATCATAATTCGGTAAAAATACACTAAAATTGATACATAGAATATCTTTAGTTGAAAGGTACCCATAAGGATCGAGTCCAACTCCCTGCACCTCGCAGGATCATAACTGTACATAACTTTACACAACTGTAAAAGATTTCAGTTTGCTTTTAAATAATCTTAATTATGACAATAAATAGGATCGATCAATGCAGTGTTAAGAAACTGTGCAGAACAAGTAGATATGAAAGCTGTTGCACAATATATCAGGTGAATCTCTTAGACCCAAGGTTTTGGATTTCAATTTTTGGCAGTGGATTCCAACAAGTCTTTTGCTTCATTTATTTTTGTTGCCAAGTAAGGTGATCCACCTGAGAAGAAAAAGGGGAAAGGAAGACCATTTACGCATCAGTATTACTACATACCAAACTACTTCACTTGCAGCATCGCCTTATTACTCATGCTTATGAGCTCCTCCTTCCTAAATAGATCCTTTACGTACAACTGCTTAAAAAACCGACATTGATATGAAGTAAACTAATTGATAAGGAAACATAAGAAATTTAATCAGAACTGAAGTCACTGAAGAATAACACTGAACAATTTGTCTCAGAGGAGCCTGAAATCACTTTAAATCAGTGTGATTTAGACTTGCAGTGCAACATTACTGCAAACATATGCAAGGTCAGCTGTCTTGAACATTCATCCAAAGCTAATAGCTATTATTTCCACCCACCCCAAAAACCGAAAGGTAAAATTTTATAAATAATTCTGACAAAGAAACATTAAGTGCGTGCACATGCACATACACACACCCCCCCGCCCCCCACACCTCTCCTGTGCTGGATCCCTAACATTACTGCAAACATATGCAAGGTCAGCTGTCTTGAACATTCATCCAAAGCTAATAGCTATTATTTCCACCCACCCCAAAAACCGAAAGGTAAAATTTTATAAATAATTCTGACAAAGAAACATTAAGTGCGTGCACATGCACATACACACACCCCCCCCGCCCCCCAAGCCTCTCCTGTGCTAGATGCCTGGAATTACCAGCCAGAAACCATCACATTAAAGCTATTTAAACATGGTACACCATCTAACTTCTAGCCCTGAACACCGTCATTGCTTTACACTCCATCTAACAATCTGATTACAGTTCAGCGGTCTTTTTGTGTTTGTTTTTTTTTTTTTACTCTCCCCTTGAGTGCCAACCATCTGCCTACAGTCACCAAAAACATTACAAGGTCTGTATCAGCAACTTACTACTTACTATAATACACCTATATTTTTTACATGAAAATATGATTCCAGCAGTGCTGTGCACTGAATAGCCTTTTCCAAGGCATCTGTTCCATCGTAATTTTGCATTCATCGCTTCATTCATTCTATTCTATTCAACTCATCAGAAAAGATAATGATAGAAGAAACACGCTGAACCAGTTGTAGACACATGTGGCAAGGCTTGCTCAAAGACTTTTTTAGGACATTCCTGCAGCAATCCAAATCATTATAAAGCCATTTCATGGTGTAATTAATGGAGTTCTCTCGTTCACGTTTGGTTTTATTTGAATATAGCCTTAAAAGGTAAGACAAACTGGGAGAAAGTGAAGGAGAACAGGGGAAGGGTAGAAAATTGGCTACCAGAAAATGAACTTTTTTTCTTTTTTTAGGATTTACTACATTGGGTATTGCTCCTGTCAAAGAGTAGACAAGAGGATCAAACAAACAGTAAAGATTAAAAACTGCAATAAACAATGTATGCTAAGTAATTTTTAAATGTGCATTGATTTTTTACATGTAGTGTTTTCACTACATTTATATATTTAAGTGCCATATTAATTTTGTAGCCCTCCAATGAGAGAAAATTCAATCACATGATTGCCTAAGTGTTTGTTTATAATTAGGGCAAGTCCAAAAGGCTTCTTTCTCCCTCTTTTTCTGTGAGCAAATATTCTTTTATAAAATTAGTAACTGATAAATTAACATACAATGTATCAATATAAAAACATTTTTAAACTGAACTATGCAAAGGTTAAGAAACAACCACTTTAGTAGCACTCACTGGGGATGTTATCATGCAAACTTCTATATATTTCTTATTTATTAATTTCTAATAATTCTCTCTTCAATGTTTAGGATCTCAGATAACATATGTAACTTAAAATCTGTAATTGCCCTTCCTTCTATCAACTCCATCTGGTAAAATACAATTCTAAAATATCAGCATTGTAATGTTGAATATTACTTTTAAAAGCACATCTGTGCTATCCACAGCCAGAAGAAATCAAGATATATACATAAGCAAACAAGTCTCTATGTGATGCCACATGTTCAAGATTACTCCAGGCCCTAGCTCTGCAGTTGAAAATATTACATGAGATTTTTTTTTTCTAGGGCCATGCCAGAAGAGCTGCAGGGGCAGCACAGAGGCACAAATCCTTTCAACTGGTGTTTCCACTGAGAAAAAGCTCCATCTTAATAGCACACAGGAGGGCTCACTACCTCCATCCAAACCTACGCTGTGCCCAGCTGTAGGTGCATTGCAACTGTAAGATCGGGTCGTTAAAATGTACGATCTTTGTAAAGGGAACTGCCTCTTTAGGTCTACTCAACATCCACACAAAGGTTCACAGTTCTGGCTCACGTCTCTACAATGAACTTAGAAGTTCATTATCAAAAAAATCTTGACCTAATACATACTCCAGTGGTTAAGAGGCCTCTGACCATCATAATATATTAGAAATGCGGATGAGAATTTCTTGCCTATGTCTTATACATTATAAAAAGTGTAAAAAATGAAAGTGTGAAATTGAATAAGCAGGACAACTTTAGAATTAAACTGAGGGGCGAAGACAGCAAAGACTAAACACTTCCCATGGCCAGTGGTCACGGTTATTTTTTTCGTTTTCTTAAAATGGGGTGCTGGCAGGGAGCCCTGTAATTGTCAAAAAGATATAAAAACCCTCCGATTTCCCCTTTTGACTTCTGAAATACAGTGCAACTCTTCGCCATCTGTTATTTTAAAGTAGAAACAGCAATGAACATATGGGCTTTCTTTCTCCACCAGCTGTAGTGTAGTTAAAGTTATAATAATAGCCTTTCTGTAAGATAAATTTACATTAAAAACCTGGCCAGTAAAGCAACAGTGCCCAGCTTTACATTTTTTCCCAAGTGAATTCCAGCAAGTCTGAAATTCATCAGTGATGTGACTTAGTGACTGCAGAACATTTGCCCACAGAAAGTTACATTCACACACGTGACTGGTCCATCTCAGTCCAAAACAGGAATGTCAGTTCAATGTAAAAATGTTATAGCTAATTTCTTCTTACTTTTGAGTAAGTTTTTTCTAAAGTGTGAAAGACTGGTCCCTGAGCTCATAGTTTCAACTGAGGCAGCACAAGTCTAGAAAACAACATTAAACAAAGGTGGGTAAAACTGTGGTGCATAAAGCCTAGTTTATCTGAGAAAAGACACACAGAAGCTCAAGTCTATAAATATACAACATACATTTGCACTCAAGTGTGGTTATTTACACAGTCAGTAAACTTAAAAGGATCTCATTTAAGCCTCTTCCTTTCCAGCTCCGGTTAAGAAAAGTAATAATTATTTACCTTTATCAGGATGATTCAAAATCATTATTTTTCTATGGGCTGTTCTGATTTTGGCCTTGCCAGCCGATGGACTGCAAAAATAAATTGAAGTGCTTACCATAAATGCCACTGTGCTCAGGCTATAAATTAACAGTTTATACTGGCTTCAAAAATAATTAAAACTTGAGATTTTCACCATCTTGTGGATAAAACATAAAACTGCACCTCTGAGGAAGTAACAATAACAAAAGGCATGTAAGAGACACTGAGAAGGACATTTTTAAAAAGCCTGTGATTTAACACATACAAATACCTTTCAGGTTTGGGGTTTTTTTGGTTTGGTTTTTTTTTTTAAATGCAATACATCCCCAGCAGCTCTAGGGTGTATCTAGCTTGTTGTTCTTATCATTAAATGCAGAAAACACATTTTTTCCTCCTAGAAAATAAGTATTTATATGACCAGTGACAAAACAACAAATATTTAATATTATCACATTTTGTTACACTGTAAATTTTTTTATAGCTACTACAAATAATTCTTCTTTCTGCTGGGGCCTGAACAAAACCCCTGTATTTGTTATTTTTGCAAAGCTGTTCAATGTGTTACATTCAGGGACATGCTGATTTACAAGTGCTACATAATGTTGTTTCCTTCAATGACAGATACATAAAATATGTACTTGGTCTAAATTAAATGTGTACCTTACCAGACAAATAACCACTTATGGATGCAGTATACCAACACGGTAAGGCTATCGTATGCAAAAGGACAGTGTGAATAATTTAGTTTTTCATAATTTGTTAGCATGCAGAAATGAAGCAGTGTTTTCCACTTCAGGTGACTTCTTAATCAGTGATGATTCAATTAATTAATCTTTTTGTAGATACAGTTTGAACGCAAGGTATCAGCCTAACTACATTCCCGAGGTAAACAACCTCTAATTATTATTCTGTCACAGGGAAGTTAGGGTATGTTGTAAAAATACTTCATAGAACAGCATAAGAAAGTAATATTTCCATGCAACAAAAAGTAACCCAGATAGTAAGAATTAAACAGAGGGTGAAAGGCCTTCAACTATATAAATAGGAAAATGAAATTACTTGTTATTAGACAACTAAAACCAACAATCACCTATATTTTGATTTGTAAAGCATTTGTTTAATAATAAAAAGTAAAATTGATATACCACATTTAGAAACTCATATGGCCAAAGCATAACTGTGGAAAAGGTGCAGTTGCATATTATGGAAACTCATACAATTCTGCTCCAAGAAGCAACTGTGAAAATGGTGTTTTACAACAAATTTGCTTCATTTATGAGCTATTGCTTATCCCACAGTCAGACTGGTCTCCAAAGATTCTTAATCACTATAAAAAAAAACCTTTAATGTCAAAAATCACATTATTGTTGAACTGGTATAGCCTCACAACCTGAGTCACACAGATGTCATTCTGCCTCCTACCCTCACCAACTGGCTGAGATCACCTTGGTGGGAACAGTGGATACACTGGAGGGCACAGCTGACATTCAGAGGGACCCGGAGAGGCTGCAGGAATGGGCTGACTGGAACCCTTCACGAAATTCAGCAAGGACGGACCTAGAGCCCCATGCCTGGGAAGGAAGGGCCCCTTGCAGAACCACAGGCTGGGGACTGCCAGGCTGGAGAGCGGCTCTGCTGCAAGGGAGCCAGGGCACAGCAAGAAGAGCCAGCAGCGTGCCCTGGCAGCAGAGAAGGGCAACAGCCTCCTGGGCTGTATGAACGGGAGCACGGTCACTAGGTCGACAGAAGCAGCTATTCCCCTCATACTCGGCCAGCCACATCCAGCTGCTGCATCCAGTTTTGGGACCTCTGTACAAGAATTCCATTGGCCAAGCATAGCAGGTCCAGCAAAGGCCACCAGGATGGTTGGGGGCTGGAGCACCCTTTGAGGAGAGTCTGAGGGAGCAGGGCTTGTCCAGCCTGGTGAAGAGAGGGCTGCTGGGGGACCTCATAACAGCAGCCCTCCAGCATCTGCAGAGAGGTCATAAACATGGGGTTATGACAGGGACACAAAACACAGGTCCAGGCTCTCCATGGTGGGAGGGTGAAACAAGGCCAAGTGCAAGGTTCTGCACCTGGGTCGGGGTAACCCCCAGAATCAATACAGGCTGAGGGAAGAAAGGATCGAGAACAGCCCTGCCAAGAAGGACTTGGGGGTACTGATGGACAAAAAGCTGGACTTGAGCCAGCAATGTGCGCGGGCAGCCCAGAAGGCCAAACGTACCCTGGGCTGCATCAGGAGAAGCATGGCCAGCAGGTCGAGGGAGGTGATTCTGCCCCTCTACTCTGCTTTGGTGACACCTCACCTGGAGTACTGCATCCAGCTCTGGAGCCCTCAGCACAAGAAGGACATGGAAGTGTTGGAGTGGGTCCAGAGGAGGGCTGCTAAAACAATCCGAGGGCTGGAGCACCTCTCCTATGAGGACAGGCTGAGGGAGTTGGGCTTGTTCAGCCTGGAGAAGAGAAGGCTGCGGGGAGACCTGATTGCGGCCTTTCAGTACCTAAAGGGGGCCTATAGGAAAGATGGGGACAAAAATTTTAGCAGGGCCAGCTGTGACAGGACAAGGGGTAATGGTTTTAAACTAAACCAGGGTAGGTTTAGACTGGATATAAGGAAGAAATTCTTTACAATGAGGGTGGTAAAACACTGGCACAGGTTGCCCAGGGAGGTAGTGGAGGCCCCATCCCTGGAAGCATTCAAGGCCAGGTTGGACGGGGCTCTGAGCAACCTGATCTAGTTAGCAGTGTCCCTGTTCCCTGCAGGGGGGTTGGACTAGATGACCTCTAGGTGCCCCTTCCAACCCAAAACATTCTACGATTCTATGAAAATGGTCAAAACTGGAAAAGGAAGGTGCAGGCTGGACATACTACTTCTTCACCCCACAGACAGTCCAGCAGTGACACAGGTTGCCCAGAGAAGTTGTGCATTCTCCATTTTTGGAGTCTTTCAAGACCCACTGGAAAAAGTCCTGAGCAACCTGCTCTGCTCCCACAGGTGGTTCTGCTTTGAGCAGCAGGTACAACTAGAGACCTCCTGACATCCCTCCCAACTTGAGTGGTCTTACAATCATATGATACACCTGTGCAGTAAGCTATGTTTAAAAATAAAATAGATTTAAAAAACAAAATCAAACCCAAAGCTACAATAATTAAAACTTAAATGCGTTTGTGTTTGTACACATACAATGTAGTATATGTTTTTTAATGTAATAGCCTATTTTTTATGCCATTTATGTTTTAAGAATAATGACTTAAACATTTTTAACTAATGCATATTTTGTACATTAACAAACAGCTAAATACTTCCTACAGAAAGAAAAGTATGCATCTTGTTTCATAGAGAAAACAGTACAACACAGAAAATTGTATTAATTTTTATATAGAATTTTAAATTATGATAATCAGACATATTTTCTAGCTTCAGAAGTCCAGCATTAGGGATTTGATAGAGGTAAACCATTATATTTAGGACTGCTATATTTTGCTAGCATCTATTTTGTCTAGTGTTTGGAAAACACTCCTAGCATTTTCACCTCCCATGTTATCTCAGACATTCCCCCATCAGCAGTTCATTCTACAGAGTACTTAGGTGTTAATATTATTGCTATGTTTATACTGAATTTCAGCAATCAGTGCTGCTTCACAACAACTAATGCAAGAACACTAAAACTTAAAATTAGTCAGTATTTCCAATACCGTACTTTGTAGCTTTGGATGCCTTTTGCACAGTTTAAATAGAAATAGCGCACATGCACATTTCTACCAAAACCCCTGAAATCTTACAAGATGGTTATTAGGGAGTAACATTTGGAATGTATAATGGGCCAATATATTTGCAATTTAAAGCTACCATTAAACTCACCTTTATCATGGCTTGTATTTATTATTTATACTGCCCATGCATGCTCAGCACTTGAAATAATGAAGGAAGTCTTTGCCTCAAAATTTAATATGACTTGGAAGTGATGATACAAGGGACAAGTGTTATAATAAGAAGATCAGGGCCTAGACAGATCTAGTTTGTGTATTTGTACATACCCTGGCATTTTCCCTAACACTTTAAAACTCACTTGCCTTTTTTTTTTTTTTGGTGGCATTATTATACATATATGTATAATACAGTAAGCAGTAAGTTAAAGCTGGTCTAGAAAAGTGTGTCTAAACAATGTGAAAATTTCCTATGAAGATGTTAGCCAAGCTTCTACACAATGAAAGGCTCAATCCTTTAAACATTAAGAACTTTCCTCAAATCTGATTAAGTCTTGATATTTGCAAGACTCAGTCCAAACACAACAAGCAGTGTCACTGTTCCCAGTGCAGACTCAAGTTATTAAAATTAAAAATTAAAGGGGACTGATTTCAGATGTGATGAAACTTCAGACACGTACATGAGCAGTGTTCAGGCTAGGCATTGCCACTGTAAACACACTTTAATGAGCTGCAATGTGCTACTCTGGAATATCGCTGAATTTGCCCTTATAAAGTGAAAATGTTAATACATTATCATACTTAAAGGCCAAAGGGAATATTTCTGAACAGCATTCCTATAAATTTCTTCTTCAGTGGGCATGAAATATTTCAAATAAAGGTAATGTTTGATTCTACGATTTCTTAAAATTAATGAAATTAATGCTAAATTTGCATAATTTCCATTATGTTAGAAGTAAACACAAATAGCACACTGAACAGGATTTTAAGTCCCAGTTTTCACTATATGAAATAATTTATTCTGGGGATAATTAAAACCACCCACCTCCTTATCTTTTTCTTTTTTTTTTTTTTTTTTTAAACCTTAAAATTCAGAACTGTTCTAAACCATAAATAAGAAATCTACTACCCAAGGTCAGATCTGCTCCTCTCATCGGGAAAGCCCTCAAATTCACCGCCTGCTTTACAGAAAACACTAAGGTGTTTTCCGTATTGGCCATCCAAATGTTTTTTAAAAAATCCACTGAAAAATCCATTGAATATTTGGCCTGGAAATTATTTCCCATACCTACTCTAAATGACAAGTCTCTCCAAGTATTTCTGTTTGGAATATGCCGCAACTTTTTAAACCCAAACAAATCAGAGTAGAGAAAGGAAAAAATGGTATTACAGACTTACGAAAAAAAGGATCAAAATTGATTTGTTTTCCTCATTTATTAATATAATCTACAACATTACTTATCTAAAGGGTTTTTTTTGAGACCAGGCCACGTGATCGCATTAATTAGCGCACTATGTGCTATTCTGATTATTTCTAGAGCACCAATTCTCCACTGCAATATGCTACCATGCCTTCAAGCCAAACACAAGTCGCATGTTTTATTAGCATTTTATTGTTTGCTTTTTAGCTTTAGCAGAATATTAGAATGGTTTATAAGCCATTAGAAGTCTTTTTAAAAAAAGTTACAATTTTGGCAAGAGTATTCCACATTCTCGCAACATGCATTTTCTTCATTCAATAGTTACCAAACAAAAACTTATTAATGCAACACACCTACCTTACACCTAAAATAAGACTAGCTTCTCGCCTACTCATTTTCTGTTCAAATCCGCCTTTATAGTATGATGAAAGACTCTAAAAAGAAGAAAGGGAAAACAAGCAATAATTAGTTTCATGTACAAGGTGCCAGGACCTAAATCCTATTTATATGACCTCATTCAGAGCATTACATTCATCTATAATTTATTTTGAAGGCATGGAATGACTACAAACCAGATAATATTGAAAGGACTTCTCCTGAGTGTTAACGCATAGAAAAAATGACTTAAAAATAACTACCTGTGTTTTTACAATCTTCTATTGCTAATAAGAGATATTAATAGCTACAACCATTAAAATCCTGCCTTCAGGCAAAAGAGTCCAGAATCAAAGCACATAGCATAGAGTGCTACAGTGGGTGTGTTGGGGAGGGCATGGGAGGGAAAAGGGGGAAACTTGTTCAGAACAGCTTTGGTACCACCGCAGTGGAAGATGGCAAAAGTCACAATACTTTGGCATCCAAGAAATTATGGACAATCACTCTGAAGTCCAGATATTTCTACAAAGAAAGTAGGTAAAAACAACAATAAAAGGATCAGAACAGATAAATATAATACACTGATAAGGAGTCAGTATGTTTTTTTCACATGAAGGAATGTTACTTCAAAAAAAAAAAAAAAAAGACGAATCCTTTGAAGGAACCTTGAAAAATAAACAAAAAGAAACAAAAACAAAAAAGGCTTAGCATTAAGCCGCAACCTCTATTTCAGGAAGTCACTGAGCTGGAAAACACTGGAAAGTAGCAGAGTATACGGGGAAATCCTAACCAATTTTGCCTTTACATCCTTCCTTAGACACCGATGACTGATGATGATTAGATACAGGATCTGGGGTTAGTTTTTTTAAACTCATTGGCATGTGACATTTTAGCCACTGTTCTAAGAAGGGGAGAAAACACACAAGTGGAAAAAGAACATTAAAAGAAGGAGATGGAGAGTAAATCATTATAACAATGAATTGTCATAGGGAATGGGTTGAAAGTATATTTGTCAACCATAAACATTTTAAATTAAAAAGGAAAAAAAAAAAAAAAAAGAGCTACTGAACCATCACTGATGGTTAACAGTGATCTCCTCAATGTAAACGTTTCTTAAGAATTGGGGACTAGCCCCTTGCTACACAGATAATAGCCCGAGCTGCACAAGTCCCAGAGGCAGCCCATGTAGCTTGAAGACAGCCCACCTTCGGGAACTGGCACACAGGAATCACTCAAGACTGAAGGTTTTTTTTCCTCAATGCAAAACCTATCAACTGGGGAAAAATAAGCTTATTTTGTTGCTATCAAAAAGAAGTCTGGCCTGAGAGATGAGACTATTTTTAAGTGTTCCTTTTACCCCCAAGTAAAAAATGTGCCTGGCCCTTAATAAAACACTCTTCTCACTAAATATACCCATTCATATTCAGTGAGAATTTTGCCCTATGTTTATGCAAACTCTCTCTTACATAATTTCAAAACCATTAAAGCTTTTAAAGGGCTCTGTCTATGATACCTAAGCAAAGCCTCTAATTTAAGCTCAGGAGTGACATTCACCCAAAAGTGTGGTTCATAAATACTTCCCCTGTTGCTACCATGAAGTCACACACAGCCACAGAAAAGATTTCTTGGTGTGCTGCTATGACCTGAAACTAATTTTATCTCCCATCTTCCTGCCCCAAACCATACATGAAATAACCACTACTGTAACACTACAGGTGTCAAAGCTGAAGCAACTGTGGACATGTCGTGCCTACAACAAAAACCTGTTGAGGAATCGTTGCTATAGCTACAGGGTAACACAAAACAGGTCTGTAACAGTGCACACCGACATTACAGGTTAGAGTCTATAACACTTAAGGGAACACACAGGGCTTCTCCAGTCCTCCGAGAGGAAACGATGCTAATGATTTAATGGCCACCAGATAACACCCCTGAGGAGGCAGAACTGCACAGAAATTTGCAACGATGCTGAACAATTACTACAGCCAGAAGAGAAAAGCACGCTTTAATGTCCTCTGAAAGGTTTTCCAGAACTTCTCCCAAAGCAGCTTAGGTGCAGATGGATTTCTGAAAAGGTTAATTCTTCTCTGCCCTTCAACTCTGGCATACAAGTCTAATACAGGAGGATGCTGGTTCACTATTCATGTAGAGAACTGCAATATTTGCATTCTAACACAGCTCATCTCTGTTCTTGGTAGATTTCACCTGAAATACTGTTTGAAATAAGAGAACAGGGAGGGATGGCTATAGGCTCAAATTCAGAAATACTTTTTCATGTTTTTAAAGCCTACTTCCTTGACACCATTCTAACCTCAGAAAGCCCTGATTCAGTTCGTTTTCAAGAGGAACGAAAAAAGAAATTCTGTTGTCTGTGGCCTTTGGCACATAAGCAAAAACAGTTTGTTGAATTGGTCATCAAGAAAAAACATTTTCTTCTCAGAAGTGAAGCACGTAGCAAGAACAATCAATTCTTAAATTAAGATCTTGATCCTAAATAGAATTTAAAGCAAAAGGAAATTAGACATAAAAGCCATTTTTCCCACTGGTTAGAATAAGGAGAAGAAACATTGAGTCTTCATTTTAGAAAACATCTTGGCAAATTTCTAGTTCCCTAATGAAACAACTTTTGCACGCTATTCAAATGAAAGCAATTTTTTTTTCCTAGTTGTAAATTCTAAGCAATGGCTGCAATGAAATGAAACAATATTCAAGATATTTTTCTGTTATGAGAACTCCTCAATGAGCAGGCAGTTCTAGACACTTGATAATTTATTAACCCCAGCTATAGCAAACAAATTCTATACTGGAAATATCATCGAAATGAGCTCTCCATTTCTTTGTACTATTTGGGCTGAGGGGAGGGGCTATCATTTAATTCACTTCATTTCCTTCCATGTTGTTACTGTTTAGCAACTCATGTAAGAAAATTCTGCTTCCTGAACAAATGCTATTAATAGTTTGGGGGGGGGGGGGGAAAAAAAGCTATTCACTCTTGCAAATTTTCACAAAAGCAGTCAGCTAAGAAAATCCAATCCATTTGGTCTGTGACATCTTCAAGATACTGTTCCTGGCATAACACAGGGAAAGCATAATCACTGGTTCCATGTCAGGTAAGAGATTCAAAACCCCATAACTGAGACCATCCATCATATTACATGAAGTAGTGAATTTTTCTGAAAATTCTGTGTTGTTCCACCACCAATACAGTCCTCCGTTGAAAAGGTAACAAACACTGGAAGGAAAACAAACTACAGTAACAAACTATTTAGAAGCTGTGTTATAATATAACCTACAATTTGCTAAGATCAACTTTAACTTCCTTAACTTCAGTTAGAAAAAAGCAATTATAAAATGGACTGCAAATTGCATTATTCTCTGGAAACTTTATTTTCAATAAAGGACAAGAGAGATGGTTGCTACCCTTACCTCTCAATTCAGAACTCTATGAGTCTGAGCAGAATCAGATCCAATAAGGGAAACACAGTGCAAAAACCTCTAATGAAGTGCTACAGAAGACACCTTTTCCTTCTGGAACACAGAATTTTCAGATTTGTGGGATTTGAGTATTTTGACAGTTCATTCTGCCTAGAATTGCTGTTTCTATCTTCAATATCTTCTATCTATCATTTAACCTTCAATATCATTGATTCAACAAGGAAAGGTAATGAGTGCTACTGAAATACTTCCTTTTTTTTTTATTTCACATTTTAAGGAAATATTAACATAATTAACAGCATTAAGGTCTGTCTGAGGAAGAAAAGCCAAATGACTACTTAGTGCTTTGCATCTTCTACTGGCAACAGACTCTTGTCACTACACACAGAAACAAGACAGCGTCGCTGGTATTTGTGACACCAGTAACAAAACTAGGCTCAAACTAAAAAAGTGTTTCTCTGGAAACAAGCATTATGACTTGTCACAGAGAGGAGATGACAATGTTTCCTCCACTGGAAAAAAGATGGTAGAAAACTTCAGGGTTAAATTACAGCAGCATTTACACTTCATATTTAAGAATATATATTTAACTGCCGTAAGTTAAAGTTAAATGAGAGGCAGAAATTCAGAATAAAACATAACACTTTTACTTGCCTTTACTTACTATTTTTGACTAAAAGATGGGTGCAGTTGTTGACTGTATGTGTTATTTATTTACGTAAGTAAATAGAAAGTGTCAAATACTCAAGATACAGCAAAGAGGCAATTAAATGATCGCCTCATAATTGCTCAACTTGACCTTACTCAAGTCATTTATTAGTGAGCAAAAAGAAAGGATAAACATCATCTGGATTACTTTGTGTGACCACAACCAACACGAACTGTGATTTCTTTGCGAGTGGGAGTGTGGGGAGACGAGAACTGCAAGTGGGGGGAGGAAGAGCAGGGTCTTACGAGAGAACAAGCTAGCTTTTAAATCAGCAGCTGCTTCACAGTCTCTCAAAAAAAGGAGGTGAAGAGGGACAGGGTTTGATTCCAGAAAGCTAGAGTAACCACTGTCAATCATAGTGACCAAGCTAGGAATCTCCAAACACCGTAGGAAACCAGCGAAGTAATGCTAAGCCTAGACACGAAATGTCCCGAGATGCTTTCTCCAGTAAGCACAGGTGAAAGTACTAACTGCTTGATTTCCTTTGTCAGTATAGTTTAGAGGGCAATATGCTGTAAAGAAACATGATGAAAGCGCTAATCCACAGATTATACTCAGCAGCTTCAAATTCCCCAAACGAAATCATGTAAAGCCACTAAAATAAGAAGTTTGGACAATAAGCACTTACATAGGACCTCTGTACCTAATGTTTTCTCTATTGTTTTAAAGAAAAATTAGAAGTGGGAAATAGCTGATTGTTGAAGAGGAGAAGAAAAAAAAGCTTGGAAAAAAAATACAATTGAAGAAAGTAGCTGTAGAGTCATAAAGAACAAATAATCTTGACTCAGAATTATACAAGGGTCTTAAGTTTGGAATATGATTGTGGAATAAAAATATCACTACCCTCACAAATGTAAAGCTGTATGTAAATACATACAGTTTGTGGTAAAGAGGAAGAGAGTTTTTACTATATTCAGCAGATCTCATTTTACACTGAAAACTTGTATTTTCACATTCAGAAATAGAATAGCAGAAGAGAGATACTCTACTGGAAATCAACATACAATTCTGGGCTGTGAGGCAGGATGTGAAGGCAGACAGAGGATGCAGCTCCAGGGAGTAGGAACACTGAGAATGCAGAAGCTCCTGGGTTGCTCTGTATGGTTGTTCATGAATTCTGCAGGACTCAAAGTCACTGTGGTAAAAATGAGATAGGCCTGTAATGAGCTTGGCTCAGCCAGTATACCAGTATTGAGGGGTACAGTCTCCTAGGAACTAACACCTCTCTATGCAGTAGCATGTCATATTTCAATGTGTTAGAGTCACTGCCTGCTTTCTTATGTGAACGTGTCTGAATTTAGATTCTCTAGCCTGTATCTACAAACAGATAGAAGAAGAAATGCTGAAGTAAAACTGCTGGGGAGGGAGGGTGAAGATTGAAGCACTCCCCTCTGAAGCCACATGTTCTTCCTGCTAGCTACTTCTAGCAAGCCTGCAAGTTTTATCACGTGAAAGCAATGTAATTCACAGTACCTAAAGTCCCCTCTGGTGTTTTGGCAGGCAACTTGGGAATCTCTCAAAAAATTACTTGAAAAGGGGGAAAAAGAAAAAAAGAAAAAAAAA